AGCTATTAATAATTGTAGAATAGATTCGAGATATAGGCAACTAATATATAATATATATGAAAATGCAACTACGATAGTACAACTAGACGAAAGTACAAATCACATCTCCATTAAGAGAGGAGTGAACAAGGAGACGTAATATCACCAAAGCGTTTCAACCTAGCCCTAGAAGACGTCGTCAAAACTACGAATTGGTCAACCTATGGCATTAACGTTAATGGCAACAAGTTAAACCACCTCAGATTCGCTGACGACATAGTGATTATAGCGAGCACATTCGAGGAACTGCAAATTATGTTGGGGGAACTAGCAGCCAGCTCCCAATAAGTCGGCCTAAAAATGAATATGAAAAAAACAAAAATAATGACAAACACAGATGACCCCAGACATATAACTTTAATCGGCAGTGAGATAGAACAAATCCAGAAATATATCTACCTAGGCCAAATCCTGAGACTTGACAAAGGGAACCAAAGTGCAGAAATTACTAGAAGAGCAAGACTAGCATGGGCAGGATTTGGAAAACTTAGCTGGATACTTAAGAACCGCAAATTACCCCAATACTTGAGGAGCAAATTGTTCAACCATTGCATTCTTCCTATCATCACATATGGTTGTCAAACCTGGACCCTAACCAAGGCAAACATGAATAAACTAGCCACAACAGAAAGAACAATGGAAAGAGCAATGTTAGGTATACGACTGTCAGATAAAAAGAGGAACGACTGGGTAAGATCCAAAACAAAAGTCGAGGACATAACAACAAAAATTGCCTAACTTAAATGAAGCTTCGCGGACCACACTGCTAGACAGAAAGACCAACGTTGGAATACTTCAATACAACATTGGAGACCTTACGAAAGTAAACGACCAAGAGGAAGACCACAGATGAGATGGGTTGATGACATTAAAAGAATAGCTGGAACAAATTGGAAATATGTTGCTCAGGATGGAGACCGATGGAAGGAGTTGGGAGAGGCCTATGTTCAAACATGGACGACAGAAGGCTAAGAAGAAGAGGAAGATATTATGTTTCAGTTGTTTATTGGTTGTTTTATGTTGTTTTAGCTTTAAGTTTGTATTACATATAAAAATAAAGTACTGGGTCCTGATGATGGGGCAAATATTGTGAGCCTTGAAATCGGTAGCCCAAAATTCACCAACTTTATTAAATAAAAACTACTTATTATTGTGATAATAATCATAATAATATAAACAATATAAATATTGTGAGTATTGACTCATTTCCCATATACTACAGTTATTTGTATATGTAAAATTGGTATATTGTAAAGCACTGAATAAACTATTGCGAGCCTGGATGAATATACATATCAAAGATTTATAGGTTTAAAAATTTAGACGCAATAAAATAAATTTGGAACAAATGTCAGAATAAACGGTACATAATTTAATATATCATGGAAAAATATGCGAGCTAAGCAAATCATCCCTTATTATTTGAATTTTGTCTCACAAAAAATTCGGAGGGGCTTGACAACGATCTGACATTTAAATTTTCTACATTGGTTGGTATTATTATTTAATGTCAAGGCTGAGTCGGAAAATTCATTTCTAAATCTAATGTTAGAATATTACAAAGTTACAAAATGGGAATTAGATTTGTATTTTAGGGTTATCACGCCCTGCGTTATGTCTACTGGTCTGATAAAGTTTTATTATTAGCTGTAATATCCAATAATCAATATACATGCTATAATATGGATATTTAAATTTCTCCGTAGTTTTTAAAAATTTAGATCTCAATACTATTGTAATATTACTTTATTTCTTGTTTTGTAATTGCCGTCAGAAAGCGGCTATTTAGCAAATTTAATCTCCAACAGAGGTAATCTCCAAAGACCGATCCTAACGAAATATTGGAAACATGGCAGAACTACTTTGACGAGTTATATAGAAATAACGAGGTACCAGCAGAAAAATCAATGGACCCCCTGACTACCCTAGAGAACCTACTATCTTACTTGCTGAAGGCAAAGATGCAATTAAATCGTTAAGGAGTAATAAATTCCCAGGTATTAATTCAATACCAGGGGAAATACTACAGTTATTAGGTAACAAAAGATTACATATCATCCATTCTATCTGTCACTGTTTGGAATTCAGGAAAATGGCCATCTGATTGGTGTGCCTCAACTTATATCCCGCTACACAAAAAAGGAACTACTACCAGATGTAAAAACTACCTCACACTGTCACTAATTACATCATCATCATCATCATTTAACCCGGATCTATCCACTGATGGATATAGGTCTCCCTCAGTCTTTTCCATGTATGTACATGAAAAAGACATAGAAAAGACACTAATTACACATGCTAGTAAAATCTTGTTCCATATCATCAAAAGCAGATTAAAAATCTATCTACATTACCAAATACCTCACGAACGAGCGGGATTTGTAAAGGGTAAAGGTAGACGGGAACAAATTCTGAACCTGAGAAAACTCATTAAAAAGTTTAGAGAATTTCAAGTACCTATGATTATATACTTCGTTGACTACCAAAAGGCATTTTATTGTGTGAGCTGGATAAATCTGTGTTACATTTTAATAGAAATGGGCACCACCTTGGGAAATGGGAAAGGAAGACTTGAAGAGGCTTATGTTCAGATGTGGACGTGAATGGCTAGACGAAGAAGAAGAAGAAGAAGGGCACCACCTACCAGTGTAGTTTCTAAGAAGGAGGGGTTCTGAATTGAGTAGGGGCTCTTCAGTGCTTCTTGGCTGATGGCTGATGGGCTGATGGCTGATGGGGAACATCCTACAGAAAAATGTGGGGCAGGTGTGAATAAGGCTTTGCCAAATAAACTCCCGCGGATCAACTAAGATCATGGCATAGGGCAGCAGCTATGTCATTATAGGATCGAAGCGGTAGAGAAAATCTCTTTACCGGTCTGATACTGAACAATCACAGGCGGTAATTATGATTTAACCGGTTGTGACACTGCGAAATCACCGAATGTTTGCCGGTATAAGCAAACCCCCACTTACTGAGCAACGGCTTCGGGCGGATGAGTTGGTAAGTGGGGGGCACTCGTTTGTCCTGAGATTGAGAAGTCGCTCTTAAAGGCGAATGAACCAAGATCAACAGCATAAGGATACAAAAGGTAAGGAGAAGACAGGGGTGCGAAAAATCCCTGGGCGAAAAAACAAATTTAATGTAAGCGATTTAAAACGCATCGCAACGTGAAATATAAGAGCACTTTATGAAGCAGGAAAATTAACAACAGTCATGCTAGAAATGGAGAGATTAGACATACAAGTATTGGGCCTTTAAGAAGATCGATGGCCAAATTCTGGAAACTACGCCAAGGATAATAATACTATTTTCTACTCAGGCAAAAGCACTGGAGAACACAACCATTGTGTAGGTAGTACTATCAACAATAATTTAAAAGAGTTTGTGACCAATTTCATTCCCTTTAACAACGAACGTATGATGTTACTTCAGCTGAAAGCCAAACCTCTAAATTTTAGAAATGTGGTTTTCAACCGTCGTTAACGGGGACGGCATAGGAAGAAGAAGACAAACATTAAATTTGCCCGTGCTCTGAAATTTTTGGAGCTAAATTCGAGCAATATTTTTGGCCACTGACCACAATGACCACTATACATACCCAGGGATGTCAAAATTGAAGAGGGAGAGAGAAAATTTTCAATGTTGTTCAATAATGAGAAACAATATTCAAAATATTGTTTCTCAATAACTAAGTATTGACCATTAAGGAAACTCTGTAGTCAGGAACAGTTTCACATATTTTTATTGACATTTAACACATATTATGACCAATTTTATTCCGAAATTTCATTTATTTTTGATCATCAGTGTTCACTTCAAAAGTTAATATTTGCCTGTTCGGTCTTTGTCAGAGTATAATGACCATATTCTTCGTAGGCTTTTTATATTGATGCAATATTTTGGATTGTAATTGAATATGTTTGCCTAGTTTTTTCATTTTGAATTTTGAAAATATTTTATCGATAGAATTATATCCATATCTCTCTTCTGATTTAATATCCCGAAGGAAGTGTAGTGTTCATGGTGATATTGTGTATGGTCCATGTCCATAGAAATGCTTCTTGTTCTTCACCGTGCTCTTCTATCATTTCTTAACTGATGACTGTCATATGATACGTCCAAAATATTTTAATTGTTGGAGTTGGAGAGTCTCTTACTGATTACGAATTATTTGTTGTAGAATCGCTCTATAAAATTTATTAAATTCTTCTTTAACACAACTATTCTGTGGCATATATTATAATCAGTTTTTAGTACCTCAGTATCCAAGAATTGCATTTGTATGTCATTATTTAGAATATTAAATAGTTGACCAAACGAATTTTTACGGTTTTTGCAATTCGATCTTTGATCGCAAATATTTGATCCATCTTCCCTATAGTGATCGTTGTTAGATGAAATGTATGATTTATCTCTTCCTGCAGTATTCGTGTGTTTGTTACCACTGATCTCAGATACAGGTATAAATTAACAACGTAAAAATAACCAATTTTGGTTTTGTGCTGCCGATTCTTTACCATGATTTTTGTCTGTGATATGTTTAACCCTTTGGGACCTAGTGGTTCCATGAAGATACCACAAATACAATAATTTTTGTTAACGGCCTAGAAGTGATTGCTTGGAACCACACTATCGGAGTGCATTTCTGTGTATATCCCCACTTCATACAAATCTTGCCGCCGTATTATTTTATTGTTCAGACACACTAATCGACAGTTGTTTTGTATAAGTCACGAGCAATCGTGACGAGCAAACGATTGAAATCAGCAATTTATTCGGTAAGTTTTTTGTTATTTCTGTTTGTTATGCGCTTCTTTTGTGATATTTGATAATTTGGTGTTTGTAAAATTCAGCATAAATTTACTATTTGCAAATAAAATGTGTGGTTCTCCTATGGAACCACCAGGTCAGTGGGATATGCCTACATCTCTGTTTTTGTTTTACTTCAGGTGTTGGTCATGAACATTAGGAAGTTGGCCTCAGACGAGGCATATGCTTTGATTAACGAAATACCATCAGATTTAGAGTCTGTCACTTCAGGGGCTCCATCTGAGGATGAATTAGATGAGCTTGAAGATGACGAGTTTCAAGTCATATCAGATAATAGCGACAGTGAAAATGACGAGGATGCTGACACTGAAGCAGCTCCAAATCAAAAATTCAAATGGACGAGTAATGCAAATTTTTTTACTACAACTGCACCCTTTACCGAAAGTTTTGGACCCAGCATACCTAGGCAAATTGAAATTTCTATAGATACGTTTTTATGTCTATTTTCGAATGAATTAATTGAAAACATGGTTTTTCAAACAAATCTGTATGCAACGCAGCAATTTGGTGAACGTATTATTGCCACGAATGTTGCCGAAATGAAGTGTTTACTTGGAATCAATTTGACGATGGGACTTACGAAGAAGCCTAGTTATAAAGACTATTAGTCATCTAAATTTCAAGTAAGGGATCACTTTATATCATCGGTCATATCCAGGGATCGATTTTCATGGATATTGGGAAATTTGCATATGAACGATAATACAGTACAACCCCAGAAAGGTGACGAGGGCTATGATAAACTATACAAGTTACGACCAATGATTGACAGGCTAACACATAATTTTGTAAACTGATATAAATCTGGTGAAAATCAAAGTATCGATGAATCGATTGTCAAATATAAAGGGATCATAGGTTTTTGTCAATATATGCCTCTCAAGCCAATAAAAAGGGGGTGTAAAATTTGGATACGAGCAGATAGTTGTGGGTTTGTATCGCAGTTCCAGATTTATACTGGAAAAGTTGGCTCTGGCGAAGAAGGTTTAGGTTCCAGAGTACTAAAAGATTTAACCCGTCTACTTGTAGACAAGCATCGTAAAATATATTTTGATAATTTTTTTAATTCTATCCAGTTAGTCACTGACCTTTTAAAAGATGTCATTTACTCATGTGGAACTATGAGAAAGAAACGTAAGAATCAGCCAACAAATTTAGTCAACGATAAAACAAAAATGGCAAGAGGAACTTCAGAATAGAGGATCACTGAAGAAGGTTTAGTATATCTAAAGTGGATGGACGGCAAGCCAGTTATATTTCTCAGTAACTTCCACAACCCAAATGATATCCAAACTGTTTCCAGATAAAACAAAGATGGTACCTCTCAAGACATTACTTCTCTTCAAATGGTCAAAGACTATAACAAGCCTGTGGGGAACTCTCCAAAATATAACCAGTCACGTAAGATCAACTAGTCATCTTGATTGACTGTGTCGTTGTTTATAAGCTTTCTTAATTATATTGGTAAGGAAGTATCCTTCCATATAAGCAAAATAATTAATCATTTTCATAAAGTAACAATATTTGGAAAATGATTTAAAATTAGGTTTTTAATAAATGGCGAATTATGATTGTAAGGTTCCTCCACCATAAATTAGAAACAAAAACCATTAACACTAACGTTCAGTTATTATGGCTTTGGAGGTTTTCTTGTTGAACTACTTCAATGACGTTAGATTCTTCTGGTTCTTATTATTAGTAAGCTAGTTTTTTACTTCATGTTCTTGGATAATTATTGGATGGATTGTTAATTATTACTTTACTAGTTTCTTGGAAAAATTTCTCTGTCACTATGGTCTTTGTGCAATTATAAACATTTGGTATTTTACAATTGCATTGTACATTTGCATTCCAATACAGCTTTTAAACCATTTGTTTTGAAGTAATTCTTTTAACGTGAATAATTCGATGTTTAAAAAAATTATGTAATCGATATAATTATGTGAAAATGTTAATTATATTTGAGAAATTATGTCAAAACATTAATTCATATTCATATTATAGTATTAATATTTGTACTTTATACAAAAATTGGACGCAAATTATAAAAAAATTGCTTTGTTAGTACCAATGAGAATTTAAGAAAAATTCTTATTACTTGTTTAAAAATTCTTTAGTTACTTTTAAAGTTCCTAAACTATTCATGCGACTGTAAAATGATAAATGATATATTCGCTTATCTTATTCTTGCATAGCAGGCAATAAGCCTAAGCAAACATCTTATGTTTGGAGGGTGCAAATTTCCCAATTACATCTGTTTATTAATAAACAGTCACAGTAAGTATACCTAGTCTGCGTAAGGTCAAATCCCTTGTTATAGACGCAGGTATAATCTTTTATATGTCAATATATGATAAATAACATTTTTTATCAGCGAATTTCTGATTTTACTGCAAAATTTTGGGTAACAGTTTTGCTTTACAAGTTTTTCAAACTTAATATGAAAATTGTTCTGAAGCTTTCTTGTGGCATTTTAAATTAATTACTATTTAACTGGGAATAAGCCACAATTAAAGATAAAAATACGTTTATTGACGTTTCAATTTCCACTTCGGAAATCGTCCTCAAAATACAAACAGTAAATTAAACAAATTTTGTTTTTTGTTACATAGTAAAAAATTCTTCTAATAATTTAATTTTATCTGACTCATTTATATTGACAATTCAGACATACATTATACATTTTAAAGTAGACGACTTTAAAATGATATTGCCAATATAGTTGAGTTGCGCTCCTGGGACGACTTTACTTATAAGATAGTTCATTCGATTACATGAAATCAACTTTAACTTGAGAATACCCATCAAAAAAAAAATCATTGCATGTAATTCGTCTTTAAAAAGACAAACACATGACATGATGACAGTAAAATTCTCCTGTTAGTGATTCCATAGTAAATTATGAGGGAAAAGATCAGGAAAAAACCTCATAATACTATCCCGACATGGTAAGTATTTGTTCGTGCATTTAGTTTACCTTCAATAAACACCAAAATTCTGATTTTATATGTTTCGTTATTTAAAAAACATAAATGATTTATCCTCTATATGTTACTGACTTACTAATACTGGTATTTTCTTATTAATAACTTCCTCTTTCAATATTGGTAACCAGATCCTACTACATTCTGCCGAAGAATTTGCGACACAATTGGCCTCATTTAGCATAATTAGAGCCGCTTCTTTGATTTTTCTTTTTTTACCATCCGTTTCTTTTAGGACTACATTTGAATTATTCCATTGAACCCTATGTTCATTATCCCGCGTGTTTACATATTTGAGATCTATCAAATTCTCTATTTTTAATATAAGATTGATGTTCACCTATTCTAACATTTAATGGCCTTGATGTTTCACCTAAATAAAACTGATAGCATTCACAAGGTATTTTATAAATGCAATTCTTTGTCCTTTCTTGTTGTTTATTGTTAGGTTTGGTTTTGGACAAAATAGATCTCAACGTGTTTGTTGTTTTGAATGGTGTTGAAATGTTAAATTTATTTTCTATCCTTTTAAGTTTTTCTGATATTTCTTTTATGTACGGTATTGTTATTTTCCTCGTATTATTCCTTGTGTATGCTGTAGGATCTCATTCTAAGTTATTCTGTTCTATTCGATCGATTGTTGAAAATTCCGTATTTATAAACGATAAAGGATAATCATTTTTTAATAAAACAGATGTTAACAAATGTTTCTCCTCCAAGAACGAATTTTCGTTAGAACAAGTAATTTTGGCCCTATCGTATAAGGATTTAATTATTCCCTTTTTTACATTAATATTGTGATTTGATTTGAAATTTAAGTATATGTTGGTGTGTGTTGGTTTTCTATACACCTGAGTCTCATATCCAGTATCGTTCTTATAGATTAAAACATCCAGGAAAGGTAGCGTGTTATTATATTCCTTTTCCATGGTAAATGTTATTGTCTCTTCTTTATCGTTTGTATCATTTTATTAATGTGTCCAACAACTCTGATCCATAAAGCCATATTGAGAATACATCATCTACATACCTCCACCATACTGTGGGTTTTAAATTTTGTTTATAAATGATATTTGTTTCAAGATCTTCCATAAATATATCGGCTAAGAATGGAGATAAACTAGAGCCCATTGCTAGATAAAAATTTTGTTTATAGAATTCATTATTTAGTTGAAAATATGTATTATCAGTACATAATGTTAATAACTCCATTATAGCCGATATGTTTAATATTAGTTAAATAGTATTTAATTTAAAATGCCACAAGAAAATAGCTTCAGAACAATATTAAGAGATTTATTAGAAAGAAACAGCAGGCAGACATTTTCCATTTATAATTGTTTTTTAGCGGAAACATCAGTTTTATTATTTTTAAAGAAAAGAATGTTATTTTAGTGTAATTATTTCACTCGAGTGAAAATTGTTTTTAAATTTAATAAGTCTTCAAGCCGTGATATTTTCTCTTGGGCGAAGTCCTTGAAAAAGCGCAAAATTGAATTTTTACAGCGTTTTCGAATTAAAATTCCCACAGATTCCAGTAATTAAAGCTTTCTGGAAGAGAGACAATTCGGGTAACCGACTCCGAAGCCTGTTTAAAGCCAAATATTTCATTTATTGCTCATTAGTGAAGTTACGCAGGAAACATTCATATTTTATTTTGAAATGGAGAAATGAGAAAGTTAGGAAGAAGCCAAAACAGGAAACGAAGAGGCAATTCTAATTAAAGTTGGAACTGGAAATAAAAGTTAAGCAGAAACTTCTAAATCCAATAGAAAATATTAGAATTCTAATTGTACTGGGAAACTTGGAAAATGGGTAAGACTAATATTGAAATTCTGTTATTTCTCAAGAAAACGTCTTCTGTGGTTTTGTGATTAAAATACTTAGTCTTTGATTACAAAACTTAAACAGTCGAAACAAAAATATAAATAATTAGTTTGTATTTTTGTAGTTAATAAGATGGCGCAAACGCGTTTGATAGCAATTTCGTCAAAAATATCAATAAAAAGTGTAAAAAAGGCAAAAGAATGTTTTAAATGTCCTTCTTCTTGCTGTATTAATAGGCTTATGCCTGTTATACTTCGGATTTTAGCTCCAACTCATCATCTTTTCGTCTCAAGCAGACGTGTACTGATCATGGATATCGGAGACCAAGATTCGGCAGGAAAGGAGTCAGGGCTTTTCAGGTCGTCAACCAGCGAAATCCCTACCAGAAACAGAAAAAAGCAGACCGTCAATTGTAAATTGGAACGTGTAATGTGACCAGCATGTTCGAA